AAGTGGGCTAATCCTAGAAGTTAGACTATACACGTTTGCAAGTCCGGCTTCAGGGCGCTGCCATCTTGCCTGTCTGGGGTGCGCTTGAACCAGTCATAAACCGATTACGAAGCCTTGCTAAGGCGTCGTAATCGGATTATGGCCGCTCCCGAGAGCGCACCCCACTGAGGAAGATGGCGGCGCCCTGAGACCGGACTTGCAAACGTGTATAAAAATAACACCTTCACATATTATCACATCTCTTTTAGTGAATTTTAGGGTAGACGGAGCGTTGTCTCGTGGTGTGACATTATGAAAATTTTCGTAGTCACTATAACCGAGAAGGACATTGTTAATTCTTGTCGTTGCACTTACTGCCTCGAGCTTGTCGAAGAGGCACACAATCACTAGGTGTCCTCTTCTCCCCATCTTCGATCGCAAAGAAAAAAAACAGGCACTAAAAAAAAGCGGATATAACTTGCCCCCCCCCCCCCCTTTTTTTTTTTCGTAGAAATGTTTATTTGGATCTTTGACATCGTTGTTAGGGTGAAAAAAAAAAATAGGTGCAGGGGCTTAGTGTTGCAAAAAAAGACTGCGGAACTGGAGTGCCAAGCCTCCCTTTGCGCTGGTCAATTCGCGTGAGTGTCACTGCATTCAACTTTACCAAAATGAAAGAAACCTTTTCTTTAGAAGGGGGGGGGGGGGGGGGGGGCTGGTCTTGAAAAAAAAGTACCGGATTACAGGGAATCCGTTACGTAAAAAATGTAAGGGAATTACTTTAAAATTACTCTAGAAAATATGTAATTTTTCTGTTACTAAATTACCGATAAATGTAAGGGATTACAAGTAATTTCGTTACTTGTAACGGATTACGTACAAGTCTGCTACAATGCTACATAAAACCGATTCCTCGGTGAAAAGCGTGTCAAACAATTGAAACACCAGACCATTTTAGCCATGTAAACTACCCAATGGCGAATCGAATGGAAGAAAATTTCGTAAAAACCCGTCCCTGCAGCATGAGTACGCTTATCTGAATCAATTCGAAACATTGGTGATTTTATTTTGCTGGGAAGAGTAAGTAATGCGACAATTACCCTGAGTCACCTGTGCCAAGATTCGCCAACTAATTGTAACGAAACGTTTTAGACCTTTCTGTGATTTGGTGAAACTGCGGAAATTTACCGGGCAAAGCTTACTTTTCATCTACAGCGTAGGGTTTCCGACAATGAGTTTTTCTTGGAAAAACTGTGTATGTGCATGGGGATGAAGGTTGGCGTTCATACTCTGAGTCATTCAAACAGTGACCTGCGGTCACCATTAGATAACTTTAACGAAGATGAAAGACGCCCGACAGGTCACTGCCTCCTTTTGTTTACGTGCCGTTAAGAAGGTGGCTAGACTGTAGCTTCCTCACTGCGATAAGTGCCGCACAATGCGATATTGTGGTCGCGAAAAAAGTGGAACATGAGCTCTGTTTGAGAGCCTAGTTCTTGAGGGGCATGACTGCTCTCTCACTTAATCTGTTGTTGAAACTTTGTTGGGCCACTCACTAAAGTCTAATCTTCGTTTCAAACCTTCCTCGAAGATTTAACGTTCTTCAAAAGAGGACGCTGACTTGTTACTCGTTTCCGCTGCTTATACCGATTGCTTTATTTTTAAATTGTGTTTTTCTTTTTTTTTTTATATTGCTCTTTTGGCGATTTTATCTTTGGTTGGATAACTTACGTTTTGCATACAAATATTTTTTCATGTTATTAATGTGATAATAATTATTTCTACAGGATGCCCAGGGATTTTATAAGATTGTAAGATATTGTAATATAAATAAAAGTAAACAAAAATACTATAGTCATTTTCTCACCTAACAGAGTAGGATTAAGTGTTTGCTGATTAAGAGTAGACCAGCATCACCAACTATTTATGAACAACGCTTTAAATTCGAGCCTTGATTTTTTTAACTTTAAGGCTTATTTATTTGTGAAGTACACTACGCAAGGCTCTGCTCTCTGTCGGAGAACAATAAAACATACTTTTTAAACTAATGCATACTTCTGATGGGCCGCGCCAAGTGTGCACTACCTATATAATTAATATATGGAACAGCTGAAAGGGGGGGGGGGGGGCGAAATGCGTATTAAAAATCGTCGCTGTAATTTTGTGAAACCGAAAAACGACAGGCTCTAATATAGCCGAAACGGGGAAAAGTCAACGACAGCGCGAATCTCTTTAAATACAACATCTCTTCTATAAACATCTCTCCCTCTTTTTCTCTCAATGAAAACGACGGTTTTAAGAGGAAGAACAATACGCAAACCAACTTACATTGTTATAAAAGCGTATTAAACTGCTCGCCGAATCCGCCATTAAAGGCATTAAAACAAGCGAAGTTTTGTGTCCAAGTCTGTTCTCGGAAATCCTTCCTCCAGTAATGCAGGTTTCTCGAAAGGCTCATCCAATTCTTTCCCTTCGAAATCATATAGAACGACTTTCCTATCTTCCTTACTTTTTTATATTTCCAACAGTGAACGAGTCTACCTGTTTTAAAAACCAGAGCAAAAAAAAAAAAAAGGCAGAACTGTCAGCACACTAAGGCTCTTCTTATTCAATTGCCTTTTGACTTTCCTTATCCCCCGCCTGGTGATGGTGTGCTCCGAGGATTAAAGCTGATGACAATAGATTGGATCGTCTTCAGGCCCTCCGGGGTAAACTTCTCAGGCAAGTTAGGTGCCACTTTAGTACAGGGCATTACATTGGCGCAGGCTCAAAACAATTTTACTTTAGTTTCGGGAACAAACGTGGCTAAGTGTTCACATTACGTAGTAAAATCTACGAGTCGTCTCGTATTAAAGTAGCAACATATAAATTAGCAACATTTACTCGGTATCATTATGTTTCAACATTACAAAATACCCAGAGAATACCTCATATATGCATTAAACTATTATTCCTAAATCTAATTGTGGACAATTGTTATAAAAAGGTTTCTCGGATTGATTATCATGCGCCTTGTTGACCGAGTAGAACCCAGACATACCAGGAGAATTACACCGCATTTATTCAGTAGCCCTTTTCTCTCACAATGTCCGAAAAAGGGTTTCGCGAGCTACGGTACCCCTAAGATAATGATAATCATAAATCTAGATCTTCCGTGATCTCGCCGAAAGAACTTGCGGGTGCAGTTCTATCACAGACTTCTTTGGACCATCCTTTCACCCCTGGGCAGTGCGTGCGTTGAATCTCATTATGGCTCAAAGCTATATTGAGCAAGGCTTAGTTTATTTATTTTTTTTTTATTTATATTGCATCGAGTTGAATTTTGATCTTCCAATAAATTTCGTTAACATTGGGAAGACCGCTTCCGGGAATCCGTAACGCTTTGAAGGTCTTGAACGGCATATAAAAATCACACGCATAAAAAAAATAAAAAACAGCTAACATTTGCTGGGGTTTGATGCATATAGCTGATCGAGTGGTAGCAGTGGCGGATTAGAAACGCCGAGTTGGAGGCAGATACGTAGCTGCTCTTGGCGAACCGGTCATGCGAGCACGTAGAGATAAGTTTTCGTGATAGAGCTCTGTAGCTAAAGGGCTTGCGGAAGCGATTTTCTTTCTCGTACGGAGCCGCAAACATTTCATTATCTCTCAGTTCGAGAACTTCAAGCGCGCAGTAGATTGTCGTACCCCCTCCACCGTCAACGGACTGCACTGAATAAGATAAATGGCATGCTCGTCTCTGATGCTTGCAGGATGGCTTATGGCAGTTCTCAACCGACAACAAAAACTTTAAATGATGTTACCGATTAGTACTTCCAATAAAATGACTAGAAAGCCAAATAGATTAAAATTAAAAAGAAAAGGAAAACATTTAAAGGAATGTTTAAATTCGCAAAAAAAATTAACTAGGTTCCTTCGCATGTTGCCCCACCTCACTAAAACGCCGCGACTACCGTCAGTCTAGCGCCTAGCGCCTAGCGCTTGCCGGAGAGATCCGTACGCTGCTGTGTTTAGACAGTTTCTTACCCCCACCTCTCCCCCCTCCCCCCCCCCCCTTTTTTGTCATGTGTGGTTGCGTTAACCTGGGTGGCGTTTCATTGGTTATGAGATCACCTTTCGGGACTGGTTTTCTGGGTGGTCACAGAAGGATTCTAAATTTATTATCAGCTACATCGAAGGGCTGCAGGGCACGCGGGTGTCCGAACCTTCCAACTCCGCAAATTCCTGCTTCTTGATTTCAAGCTGCACTTATGACTACCTTGTTTGTGCAGTCTTTTGCTCACAACCTCACGACCTCCACACTTTTTGCGTCCATGGACGATATTTTTCGCCCGCCTTTTGTGTGGATTCTTGTAAGCCGAGTTTAGTTGTGATTGTGGCTCCCATTGATTGTATGATCGTAGAGGACGGCAGGGAAAGTCACCCAACGGGGAAATCGCGTATGATTCAAATATTTCAGTATATAAATAAGAACTCCTTAATTTATATAAATATTTCACTCTTTTTGGTTAATAGAAGAAAACAATTAAAATTCAACTTTGCGCAAATACCTAACCAAGAAACCAAAAAGGGGACGTTTTCATTTATATTTATTTTATGTCTATTAATTACATATCTGCCTAAAAAGAAATAGTTTTTTTCTTCTTCGTTGCAACACACTCGACGTAACATACTTTCTTTTTCTCTTTTGCCTCAAACTGAATCGCCGTCGGGACGAAGTTCTAAATGGGTACACATTTCATGCTCCTAGAAAGGTCGAACGAAGTAAGGTTAATTTCAAAAGGATGCGTTACTTAAAATGTTTTAACTATAAAAGTTGTGACACAATAGCTGCTGCATAACTTCGAGTGAAACTTTTATTTCGAGACGCATTTTTTAAAATAAACAATTTATACACTCATCGGCGCTGTGACAGATGATTTTTCTTACGCTCTTGGAGACCCGATGCAAGGCCATCACTTGGCAACCAGTCTGGTCGAAGCACTCGACTGACACGTGAACAGATACCGACTTATCGCCTATCGCATAGGCGAGTCGACTAGCGCGCGGACCGCGGACTTTGAGTTGCCTTTGGTTTCATGCTACATCTACCCGTGGGTCGATTTTCACCACTGTTCAAGCTCAACGTCATTCCAACGACATCACTCTCCGCAGCATCCTCTGAGCAAAGCCAAGAGACTCGAGAACGATGCCCTGCGGTACGTGCAACAAAGACTCCTTCGAGCTATGGAGACGGACCACCTGCCGGCACTGTATTTGCAACCCCTGCTTAACAAAATCGAAAGAACTCGCCGCCTGCTGCCAGATCAAGACCGCGATTCGATGTCCAGGATCGAAATTTGGATGCTCCTTCGTGACGTGTTCGAACAACTGGGGGGAACACTACGCCGCCTGCAACATGGTTCCCGTTACCTGTCCCCAGTCGTGCCAGTACATTGTGGCCAAGAAGGATCTCAGCTGGCATCAGTCTTTTGAGTGTCCACGTCGTCCAGGTAACCTTCCCTTTTCGGCCGTCGTTGTTGCTTCTGAAGAAGCGCGACCTGGAGGAGGGGAACATTCTTCCGCGCAGTCGCGGCGGATCCACTCTGAAGAAGACATCAAGAGAAAGAAGACAGATCGCTGCTCGACACCTCAATCCTGTCCTTCAGCTGAAGAAAAACGAATGGTTGGATCCTGGGACAAGCCACTATGCGACCAACTGGGCATCGAGGAAAGTGCGTTCTTATTTAGACTCTTTAAGGAAAGACTGCAGGAACTCAACTTCGACGTCGAGACGATCAAGAGGGACACGCGAGTGGCGAATCTCGAAGATGAAATGCGCGAATTACTTCGGGAAAAAGAGAGAGAAATCGAAAAGTTGCATCTGCGCGTTCGAGAACAGGACGTTACGATCGAGACCTTGCGATCAGAACTGGACACATGTAAGATCTTGTGCAACGAACAGGTTTCTGATTTACGGAAGCAATTGGAGGCTGTAAAAGGATCCTTCGATACAGCTGTCGATGGCTTCCGTAAACAACTAGGCGACCGTGAGAGGGAGACGCGACCTTTTATGACAGAGATGCGATTGTTTAAAGATTACGTGGCTTCTATGATGGAAGTTTTGGAAAGCACCATGGTAAGGATTTCGCCCGAGATGAGTTTGACCTTACCGGAGGAAAGTACACCTAACGCGGCGTCGTGAAGGTGGTGGACACGAATGGTCATCTCAGATTGCGGTCATCCGCAGCCAACGCTCAATTCTTAGCACTTATCTAGCATGGACCTGGCGTGGACTTGACTTTTACAGGTTCTTGAGCCAAGCAAAAATCTTTGGCGGAATGTAGACCCATTATATGTTTCCTGATTCACTGTATATAAAGAGCAGAATAGCTTGCAAGTCATGTAAAACTACCACCCTGCACATACATTTTGTTTATAAACTGAGCTCCACTGTAACCATCTATGGCTATACTCCTTCGGAGGGCAGGCCCTTTATTATCTTGATGTCTCATTGAAGAATAAAATATTTAACACAACCATGATACGCTTCTTGCATATATACTTTGTAGTTGACGTGAAAATTCTACTGTTTTTTAAACTAATATGGGAAGACAAGCCTTAAGGCACCTTGGTGCGATCATTCGCAATCATGACAGGAGTTTTATACGTTCCCGCATTTGCGTTTTAGTGTGAATGTGACAACCGCTTGGGATTGCGGACGAGAGAACGCAAGCTGGCGCCATCTATGGCGTAGCATGGGACCACTTTTAATCTGCATCCCCTTCTGTGTTCCTGAGTCTCGGGTTTTATTACCATGAATCATCACCAGCTCGCTTGTTTTTTAAGTACTATTGCATGTATTTTCAGCTTGTTTAATAGACAAACGTTTTTCACTGTGGACTTGAAAATTTTTTTTTTTTTTACAGATAGTGAGAAGATTTGATCTGACAAATACTGCGAAGCTTTCAGTCCAGTTATACGCGGGTCAAAAATGTCCCAGGATATACTTGACGGATGACGGCAGGGTGCGAATCTGCTCTCTCGTTAAAAGCGGTCATAAACGCAAATATATAAATAGGTAATTACGTGATGTTCAAACGCCCTGAAAAAGCAAAACCATTGGCTATCGCAAAAAAAAAAAAAATTTCCCAAATTAAAAAAAAAAGAAATTAATGTTTTTTATAACACAAATGTTAAGTAATCGTGACGCATAGAAAGGTCGTCAGAAGCTCTCAAACAACTATACTCTATACCAGGGGTGGCCAGGCTGACCAGGCCTAAGAGCCGCAAACAAAACCACGAAACTTCCAAGAGCCGCGGGGGGGGGGGGGTCACATTTCTGTTTAGAGCAATACACAATACTCGGACTACTTTCAATCTATCCAGGTCAAAAGCAGTCCAACTGTACGTAAGGTAGCAGTAGCAAAAATCTACCAAACCGGAACCTGTCTTTTGATTTGAAACGCGTTCCATTTATCTTTCTGGGGATGTGCTCGTGTGCTCGTGTGCTCGTGTGCTCGTGTGACCGGTAGGGAGGCGGGGGAGTGGAGGGGGGGGGGGGGCGGGGGGGGGGAGAGGGGATGGTGCCGCGAGCCACACTTTAACACGCGAAGAGCCGCATCCGGCTCGCGAGCCGCAGCTTGGCCACCCCTGCTCTAGATGATCGACCTCACCATTCCCTGCGTTAGGCGCAACTACTACTATGCGCAGGTTTTGAAAGATACCTCAGCTCTATGAGAAGAAACTATCGTAATCGGGTTTAGAATTTGACCAGTTAGTTCGCATCCGCCGGTTTTCTGTTCACTGCAAGAAAAATAAATAAATAAATAAATAAATAAATAAATAAATAAATAAATAAATATATTGTTACGAAGATGTGCGGCCGGCAGCAAATGACAATGACGCGTCCACTCAATGAGATAGAAAGGATTTTATGGAAGCCGGGTCGTGCGCGCGGAGCTTGGCGAGTGATGGTCAGGCCACGGTGGAAGATATACATTTAGGTGATGACTTGCCGCTCTTACCGCGGGGAGCGAGCGACCAGATCGTGTTCGGAGCTAGCCTCGAACCAGAAGTATTTAGTTCGTCGCCGCGGATGACGCTATGAGGTTCCTCCTCGGCGGCAACGGTGTCGGCGGCGTAGTGCACTCACCTTTTTCGCGGTGTGGTGGTATGGTGGTGGTTTGCGGACAGCGGCTGGCCTCGTTTTTGCTTTGGTGCTGCGTCGATCATAGGTGCCACCATCGAGCACGAAGTTGAGCCTTAACCCGAAGAAGAAGTTATGCTATAAGGATGGGAAAGACGTGCTTCGTTCCCAACGGCAATTCGGCGTATTTCTTCCATTTTGTGAATTTACTCTCTCCTGAAACCTTCGAAGCCTTCGAAGTTCGGCAACCGTGGAGTAGTTGAAGGGGAGACGTAACTACTTGACAGTCTTGACGTGTAAGATCTGAGAGCCCTGAGCAGAACGGACGATAAAAGCCCCTTGTCCCCTCATCTCGTTGAGCAAGTGAAGACCAAGCTTGACAGTCTAATTTCTGCCGAAAACTGGGATGCGAAGATGTCTGGACAGAAAAGACTCAAGAAACCAAGGCTGTGGACTGCATGCTATATTATGTAACTGGGTTTTTGAGTGTGAAAATGAGAAAAAAAAAAAACGCTTCTTGCCGCCCTGCATGCCGATCCGCTTTCAGCATCGACAAGAACACTTCTACTGACGCAGCACTGACAAACGTGAAGAACAGAGGAGGCCTTATACACTTCAGCAGGAACCTTTTCCAGCTACCGAAGAAAGCGGAACAGTTTTTCGTGGAAAATAAAAGCCACCAGACTGTTTACTGTGACACAATCGACAGTGTTCTTGACACATGCACAATAGCGCTTCCATGCGCTGAACACAAAGAAGAAACAATGCAGAGTTGCTCCACTACTACATCAGTATGCCAATGCGACAACACTGTAAGCATATTACCATGAGTATGAACAAACAATCCCAAGAAAAGAAGAAATCAGGAAAGCAGTGCTCGTTTTAGTTTAAAAGCGTGGGCGAGAAATACAGTATGTAGAAAATGGCGTTCTTTGGTAGTATGCAGTGAATTCAGCTTTGTGTATATTTTAATGCAAACATATTTGTTATACTTCGTCTCACCCTACGATGGACTAAAGGCAAAAGCTACGGACCGCCAGATCCAATCACGATTCACGTAGAAATTGCGTATTGCGCTTTGATACACGTATCAGTGGCCGCGTCTCGAATCACTGATTGGGATTGGCGGACAGTGGTTCAAATCGAAATAGACTCAACAATTTGACATCGCAAAAAAAAAAAAAAGGCTGTTTGCAGTGTCGAAGCTATAGGAATGATGCAGCATTTTTTGATTCGGAGCATTATTCGTCCACCCCAATCCAATGCTAGGTATGTCATAGTGTAGCGTAGAACGTGATTGACCTGACGGCCGTGGCGTTAGCCTTTAGTCCATCGTAGGATGAGACACAGTATAGGTATTTTTTTTCACCTGTAAGACGGGGTGACACCATACTGTGAGTGTATAGATGAAAAGTGATTTATGTTCTATAACCGCTACTACTGTTTGACTTTCAGTCACTTTGTCATCATTTCAGTATGTCATCATACTGTGTCATCATTTCAGTCACTATGTCAGGGGTAGCCAGGCTGACTCGGCCTAAGAGACGCAAACAAAACTACGACACTTCCACGAGCCGTGGGTGGTGGGCAAACTTTTCTCCAGCACAATAAACGAAACTCGAACCACTTTCAATCTACCCGAGTCAAAAGCAGTCTAACGGTACGTAAGGTAGCAGTAGCACAAGACTACGAAACCTCAACCTGACTGTCGGTTTAAAATGCGCTTCATTTATCTTTCTGGGGAAGTGCTCATGTGACCGGTAGGAAGGTGGAGGAGAGGAGTGGAGGGCTGGGGAGGGAGCTGCGAGCCGCACTTTAACACGCGAAGAGCCGCATGCGGCTCACGAGCCGCAGTTTGGCCACCCCTGGTATAGAGCATCAAGGCCCTAAGAGGTATTTTCTTTTTATTTTGTAACGTAATCACGCTGCACGTCTCTTTGCTACAGACCGTCGAGCTGATGTTCAAATGCCTCAGAAATAATAAGGTTTCACTCTGCGGAGCGAAGATTCACCCCATTTCAAACAGGCCTAAGGCCACATAACGATGCCCATGTACCCATGATCACAAATTCACGCTTTACCTCCCCGCCCCGCCCCCCCCCCCCCCCCTTCCCGCCTCAAGACAAGGCACCATAGGCAGGGTGCTACGAAGTTCAAATCAATCAATCAATCAATGAATCAACCAACCAATCAATCAATCCACGTGCCGCACCCACAGGGGGATCGGTGGCCGAGTGGGCTAGCGCACACCAGCTCGGAGCGCGCAAAGCGAAAACTCGCGCTGCAGATCCGTGGGGTCCTGGGCTGAATCCCGACCCCTGCCCGCTTCGATCTGGATGAGCATCGTACTGGCGTGCGTGCGGTCGTGTCTCGCCACTGCGTGGTTCGTGTTAAGGACCCCAGGCTAGCGGTTGTTATGCACTGACTAAATTTCTCATCTACAGTTGAGACACCATACTCTTAAAAAAAAGGGCACTGTAGTACCCTCCTTGAGGGGGGAAAAAGACGAGCGCACAGGGCAACCCCTTTTGGAGGTAACCTTACCGCCTGCAACGAGGGTGCAAACTTACCTCCTTAAATAGGGTGCAACATTGCCTCCTTTTGGAGGTAACCTTAGTTCCTTTTGGTGTTAAAAGTGCATCCTTTCAGGGTCAGCCTTTGCCTCCTTTAGGGGGTAATTTCAACCCTTTTGAGAGGTAAGACGACGTAATTGAGGGCGCTGCTTTTACCCCCTTTTGGAGGGAACTATGATCCACTTTGGGGTTAAATGTACACGACGAGGAAAACTGCTCAGAAAACGCGCACTACGAGGAACAAACACGACAGGACAGTGCTGTCCTGTCGTGTTTGTTCTTCGTAGTCCGCGATTTCCGAGCTGTTTTTCCCATCATGTATACAGCAACCAACTGGCCCAGTTCACCGCCTAATACAGGTTAAATGTACACTTGATGGAATCACTTTTGCCCCCTAAAACAAGGTACTATGGCCCTTTGTGGGTGTGATAGTACATGTTTCAATGGTGGGCATTACAATAGATGAAGACGGCCTAGTTCTGAAAGTAAATGACAATGTTTTATTGTGGCTGTCACAGACAAAATGGCATAAAAATCAATGGCATGACTATACATCTTATAAAAGTTCTAAGATGAAACCACTAAGCGCAATAAAGGCATCTGGAACAACACTTTCGGGGCTCTAGTTCGCGACAGTCAATAAAATTATCACAAAAAGTACATAAACAATCGGTGTCTACCCGGAAAATAACAGTGAATGCTTGTAACACTGCTTGGAATAGCGAAGCTTCACCAATACACGACTGGCAATGACTAGTACGTTGCAACTCAAGGAGAGCAGTACACTATGCCCGTCCTATCCACAGTAGTGGAATGAACG